ATAAGTGAGATCATGTGATACTTGTCTTATTATGTGATACTGGCTTATTTTGCTTAGCATAATCCTCTCCAGGTCCCTCCATGTTGTCTCAAAGGGTAAGAGATCCTTCTTTTTCACGGCTGCATAGTATTCCATGATGTAAATGTATCACAGCTTATTTATTCAATCACCTACTGATGGGCACTTGGGCTGTTTCCAGATCTTAGCTATTATAAATAGAGCTGCTATGGACATAAGGGTGCATATATCCTTTCTGACTGGTGTTTTAGGATTCTTAGGACACATGAAAACATGCTCAAAGTCATTGATCATCAGAGAGATGCAAATTAAAACAGCAATGAGGTATCACCTCACCCCTGTCAGAATGGTTATCATCAACAAATCAACAAACACATGAGGGTGAGGATGTGGAGAAAAGGGAACCCTAGCTCACTGCTGGTGGGAATGCAGACTGGTACCGCTACTATGGAAAATAATATTGAGTTTCTGAAAAAAATTAAAAATGGAACTGCCAATTGACCCAGTTCTAGGAGTGGCAACATGAGCAAACATGAGAAAAATATCTACTTATATAAAAAACCCTGGGTGTAACATCACAACCAGAGGTGCAACCAACCGGAAAAAAGTCAGTCCTTCAGGGTTTGTCTTGGAAAGGACTGCACCCTCCCCCAGCTGGTTCCTGGAGGGTGAGGTTTCAGGCAGGAACCCACTCTCAGGGTGAGGTTTCAGGCAGGAACCCACTCTCGGAGTGGAGCATGGAAGTACTGAGCCCTGGGTCGCCTTGCCAAGGGCTGCATCCTCCCCTATCTGTTTCCCAGGAGGCTTGAGGGAAGAACCCACCCTTGAAGTGCTAGGAGCGCCCAGCAGCAGTCAGTCCTAGGTTGCTGAGGTGGAGACCACAGGGTGTGCTAGAACTCTGGGTCTGGTCCAACAGGGGGTGTGGTCAGCCTTCAAACCAGACCCTGACAGTAAGGAGGAGGCAGCCCCATTCCTCACAGAATCTGTTGTTGGATAG